TCATTTTGCTATCACTATCGATCTTTACATAGAATAACTCATCATTATAGCTAATTCACTAATGAGTTTGTGTTTAATCGAAGTTTGATGACTGAAATTCTTCTCAAACTTAAACTTCCTTTTTCAGTCTGTTATACAAAGATCGATATAGAAAGGAAAGAAATGATAGCTCTATTGAATACTGATGAGAATTCCCTGCGGTTTGCTGTTGTTTTTCCATTGATCTCCCATGTGAAAATCAAACGCAGATGAGACGAGTTTAAACGCGTTTATAAACGTATCTTGATGCGTTTCGACTTAAAGGCACGGATGAAACGCGTGCAAACGTGTTTCATAGATGCGTCTAAACGCGCTTGTACTAATGATTGCATTCAAACGCATCTTAGATAGAAACGCGTCTATTTGTTGTTTTCTGCAAAATACGACTACACGCGTTTCAACGAACGCTCGCGTTCAAACGCGTCTCAATTGGAAATACGTTTTGTTAGTAGTTGAAATAGAACGCGTCGAAATGTGTTCAATAGGGCGCACACCGTTGAAAACGTGTTTTGCAATGCATTCGAGAAATAGATTTCGTTAATCAAAGTTAAGCAATCTCAAAGAAAAATTGAAATCAATCGGATTTTTGAAAATAAAATATTTCAAGTTTGATCGTTGATACTTTGTGATCATCACAGAGTGTTAGTAATTCAACTTAGTTATTTAGAATTCAATTAAGATGAAAATTTATTTTATGAGATATAAATCAACGTAGGAATTTAATACATTGTTTTCAGCGACATAGCCAAGGGAGTGACAAATGGGCAATTGCCCATTTCATTTGGAGATTTGCCCATTGAAATCTCTATTAGTAAGTTTTCACCAATTGAAATTTTACTTTTTCACAATTATTTATGTATTTTTGAATTAGATGGCAATTCTTTTTTTTTTCTTCCGTCTGAATCATACATGCACTTTTTGCTTGTTCTTTCTATGAAGAATGAAGAAAAGAATCGCTTCTGGTATGTTCATCAGGGTTGCTAGATGAGAAACTTAAAAATCAGAATTTTCTTTCCAAAATCGGAAACTAATCAGAAAGAGTAACTTTTTGCAAATCAAGGACTATCATGTTGATATACTTGCA